AAAGTTTCTTTTGAACCTTTTTGCCGTGCTGGCTGGGCTTTGTGGATTGGGTGGATGCGCCCCGCTTCATCCAAATTCCCTTTTTGGGGTTGGCCACCTTTGTGGTCCTTATGCGGTCGCGAGACTCCTCAGCAAAATCAGGTAGACCTTGAGACCTTGTCCTCCAGGTTCACCTCCAGCTCCAAAGTGTTGGCGGTACAAAGACACTGCCACCAACGCCAAACCACCGAGCACCAGCGGCCCAGATTCCAACACCCATCACGGCAGCACCAACATCAGTCAACGCTTTGCTGAAGCCATTTGATGCCATAGAGGAACTGGATGATGAAGGACCCAACACCTTGGAGATACTCACATCTGTCTTGTCCATCATTCCAGCAGGCTGAGAAAGCAAGTGAAAGCTTGTCCCTGCAATGGTTTTGTCAGACCATCGGCCCCCAGCTCCAAACCAGAGCAGGACACCGCCCATGGCTCAGCAAGATCTTGTATCACCTCCCGCAGCTTGGCTGACCGAAGTCTCAGGTGTCGTGTTCTCCAGGCACCTGTGTCTGCTGTGAATTGGCTCATGACAGATATGCTGTCCCCCTGCATGTGCTTCTTCACTCCCCCATACCCAAGGACTTTCAGAAGAGCTCCCCTTGACTCGCCGCATTGATACGCTTGAATTGTACGCCAAGAGCTCTGCTTCTGCTGTACTTTGGGTGATCAAGGGTTGCGTGGTTGACGCCCACATGAGAGGGTTATGGGTCATCATGATCCTTGAACAGAGCTATATACCCTTCATGAGGTGGTCCAAAGCTTGCGTCCACCATCACCTCCAACGTATCGATTGGACCACTCCTTTTGTAGCGGAACTTCTTTGCAGCGCTCCCGCTGAGATACTTCAAACATTGCTGTTCAATATCCACGACGTAGCTTGGTCGCTTACCCCCACGCTGTACGACACGTCAGGTCGCGTCCTTGTTGTGATCCACATCAACTCCCCGCACAACTGCTGGGTAGCTTAAAGTACTGGACCGTTGAGGTTCTCGCTGGGTTCTTCTGGTCCCTCTTCAACCTTTGGGCATGGGATTCCACGTCTGGCAGATGTTGTGCTTCTCGATGAGGTCGCGGACATATATTTTTTGCCCCAGGCATAGCCCTGTGTGTCCACCGTGAACCATTCAGGGGTAGCCAAAGTGAACCTCTCCTCGAAAACATTCAGCGCTTCCTCAAGGATGTTATTGGGGCCACGAGAAGAAGATCATCCACATGGACCCCCATGTTGCCGATGACGATCCATGTCTCGCCCTTGGAGTTCTCTTCCAACTCTTCAAGCGACCAAACGTGTGGCTCCAGTGTTGGAGACATCCGGCACTGTTGACCATCTCGATAGATTGCCCAGTCTCGAGGACTTCTACCATGCAGTCTATACAACAGCCACCATTCTTGGCCACATGCTTGAACTTCCTTGGTAATTGCTGGCAGGGTGACCAAAGTCAACTTGGAGCTTGAAGAAAAGCTGCAGTCTTGACATCGACCGTCGCACAACCCCAACCACAATGAGATGCCTTTGACACCAGAGACCTCGTACTCACCGCACACAGCCCACCAGCTGCCACCTCTGCATCTTCATAATTGGTGGCTTGGTTGCCACAAGCAACAAGCCGTCCTTTTCTTTTGAAGGGCGGCTTGACTGTTGCCACAAGTTTTCCAAGGAATCACCTCGATATGGTGAGTTCTTTGAAGCTCCTGGTACTGCTCTCTGTTGATGGGTTCGATGGCCTTGTGCTTCAAGAGGGAATCATATTCCGCTTTGATGAGGTCTTTCCATTCAGCCAGCTCTCTTCAAACTTCATCGAGTTTGAGCGTCTTTGTAACCAGGGTCTCTTGCTCCTTGACCGTAGGCTCAATGCTTAGCTAAGCCCCGAAATGCTCCTTCAAGTCGTTGAACCTCATCATCAATGCTCTTCAATGTTTGCCCCAACATGTCATAGTCCCTAATTTGGGTTTCCTCTCTTCGAAGACGACGCAGTTCATTGTGCTGTAGAAGACAAAGTTCTTGAAGATGATGGAGGTAGTTTTGAGCTTCAGGTTGGAGTTTTTGATGTCCTTCCAACATGCCATATTCATCTTCAGGCTCCTTTTTGATCTGGATCGCTGGTCAAAGTTTTTGAAGACACCACCTGGTCCAGTGCACTCCCCTCTGTTGTGGTCCACAGCAGCTTAGAGACGCTGGGAGGAAGACGACCCACATGCTGTTTGCCATGAAGTCTTCTGCTGCCATCAGCAAGTTGGAGCTCCCCCGGAGTTGGCGCTAGTTTTCGCTTGGGATCCAAAACTTGAACTTCCACTTCAGAACCACCTTGAGGAGCATGAAGTTGATCTTCTTCTTCACCTTCCTCTCGCAGAATAGCTTCGTTTTCAAGCTTGCAGCTAGACAGATAGAAAGATAATGCAAGATAGACATAGAGATGGATAGATAGACGGACAGATAGATAGACTGATAGAGAGATGACCTACCACTACCACTACCACTACTACAGCTACAACTACAAATACATTACACTAAGTACACTACACTACGCCAATTACAGTACACTACGCTAATCTGCCAAAATTACTTTATTTCTTACCTCGTCTCCCTCGTGTGCTATTTCGTTCCCCAGCTTTAACGCCTCGCATCGCTAATTCGCATGATGGAAATAAGGCTTGTCCTCGCTATTTCTCAATAAGGAATGAAGGTTTCAGGTTGTGGTGGGCCCAAAACAAAGCGACAGAAAAACTTTTCCCCCGCTTAAAAGTTTATTTTGGGGTTACCTCGTGTGACAACGGGACGCCTCGCTAGTTCCCATGTTCAATACAGAAGACTTCCCCTCGTCATTTCTGAGGTGGGGTTTAAAGTTTAAGGTTGTGGGGTAGCCCAAGCCAAGCGACAGAAAAACTGTTCCCCCGCTTAAAAGTTTATTTTGGGGTTACCTCGTGTGACAACGGGACGCCTCGCTAGTTCCCATGTTCAATACAGAAGACTTCCCCTCGTCATTTCTGAGTAGGGGTTTAAAGTTTAAGGTTGTGGGGTAGCCCAAGCCAAGCGACAGAAAACTGTTCCCCCGCTTAAAAGTTTATTTTGGGGTTACCTCGTGTGACAACGGGACGCCTCGCTAGTTCCCATGTTCAATACAGAAGACTTCCCCTCGTCATTTCTGAGTAGGGGTTTAAAGTTTAAGGTTGTGGGGTAGCCCAAGCCAAGCGACAGAAAAACTGTTCCCCCGCTTAAAAGTTTATTTTGGGGTTACCTCGTGTGACAACGGGACGCCTCGCTAGTTCCCATGTTCAATACAGAAGACTTCCCCTCGTCATTTCTGAGTAGGGGTTTAAAGTTTAAGGTTGTGGGGTAGCCCAAGCCAAGCGACAGAAAAACTGTTCCCCCGCTTAAAAGTTTATTTTGGGGTTACCTCGTGTGACAACGGGACGCCTCGCTAGTTCCCATGTTCAATACAGAAGACTTCCCCTCGTCATTTCTGAGTAGGGGTTTAAAGTTTAAAGTTGTGGGGTAGCCCAATCCAAGCGAACAGAACAACTTTTCCCTCGCTTAAAAGTTTATTTTGGGGTTACCTCGTGTGACAACGGGACGCCTTGCTAGTTCCCATGTTCAATACAGAAGACTTCCCCTCATCATTTCTGAGTAGGGGTTTAAAGTTTAAGGTTGTGGGGTAGCCCAAGCCAAGCGACAGAAAAACTGTTCCCCCGCTTAAAAGTTTATTTTGGGGTTAATTGGTGTGACAACGGGACGCCTCGCTAGTTCCCATATTCAATACAGAAGACTTCCCCTCGTCATTTCTGAGTAGGGGTTTAAAGTTTAAGGTTGTGGGGTAGCCCAAGCCAAGCGACAGAAAAACTGTTCCCCCGCTTAAAAGTTTATTTTGGGGTTTCCTCGTGTGACAACGGGACGCCTCGCTAGTTCCCATGTTCAACACAGAAGACTTCCCCTCGTCATTTCTGAGTAGGGGTTTAAAGTTTAAGGTTGTGGGGTAGCCCAAGCCAAGCGAACAGAAAAACTCTTTCGCCACTGAAAAGTTTAGTTTGGGGACTGGTCACCAGCACTTTGAGCGTCATGGTGACTAAAACAAGAGCAAGTTCGACAGCTTGACCCCCCAAAAAATTCTCGTACATTTTTTTATAGTTTTCTTTGCAGCTCTTTCATGCTCATAGTGATGAAAGCAAAGCAAGCTCGGGTAGAATGCGTTCAAAAAAACTTTCCTACACCGCAAAAGTTTCTGTCCTTCCTTTTGTGGAGTTGGACCTCTAGTGACGGAAAATCAAACTTTGTGGCTCCCCAAAAGTTTTTCTAACCCAGTCCAAACATGCAACAAACCAGTACAAGGCTACCTCGTCGAGTTGGCTAATTCACAGAACCAAATTAATCTTTACCTCGTTAAATCTGACTTACCCACCTCGTTGCCTCGTTTGTCCTCGCTATAATTTGTACAGACTAATTACACTACAACGACAACTACAACAACTGCTACAACTGCAGCTACAACTACACTACATTACACTACACTACCTCAATTACACTACGCTACACTACAACTAGGCTACATGACAAAACGCTACAATACACCAATTACACTACACTGCAACTACAACTACACTACATGACACAACACTACGCTACACTAACTCCACGCCGCTACGCCGCTACGCCGCTACACTACTTACACCACACCACAACTGCAACTGCAACTACACTACGCTAATCACACTACACTACAACTACAGCTCCACTACACTACAATTACAACTACAACTGCACTACACCACACAGCACCCATTGCAAGCACTCCAAAAAACACAACTCCAACCACCTTTCCGTCCATCAGTGGATTCGCTCTGCCATCCATGCATCACAACAACTCACCTCTCCTATAGTGTCCTATCCTTGAAACTTCCGCTACCGCCTTGTGCGGTACTGGTACAGAACCAAAAAAAGTATGTCCAACTCTGGACAGTCCAGGCTCCTTGTTGACGCTACTGGGAGTCTTGCCCTTCTCCTGCACCAACCGGGAAGGCGGATCCATTTCACATTCATATCATATCTGCCAAATTGGATTTTAGATATATGATCTAGAATCATGTATGCTAGAGATGACAGAGTCCGATTGCCAATTTACATATATCGCATCCGCATCGGTATTACTATTCAATATTGTAGCAATCCCCAAAACATTTGACAAATCCGTTTCCAAATTCCTGGTCTATCCTTTTGGGGTTGCTACATTCACATATGATTACGGGTCAAAACCCTGCTATCCTAGTGTTCATCCCTGCCAGCTGAACATGCGGTACCCAAAAATCTGATCGCTCATCAGCTTCCCCACTTTAATCAACATGTGTGTGGCATACAATTAATATATATATATATTTGATTTTTTATTTTTCAATAGCAAACCGTTAGTTCACCAAAGGGTAAATGTCAATTTCCCTATATGTTTCCATCATTTCCCAGCCTTCTCCCATTCCAGCCTTGCTCTCTGTGACCTTCACCTCTTTGATCGTCTTCTTCGTGCCCTTCGCCACAGCCGGCGCCGGCACCGACGGCACTGCCGGCACCGGCACTGGGGACCTGCGGTTTGGTTTCGGTGATCTTTGTTACTGATCATTGTGAAGAATCCATGTTTAGTTAACAATAATTCATGGACAAAACTATGAAGCACGGTGCATTGATGTTTATTTATGTGGTATTAAAACATAATCATTGTTAATTATCTACAGTTAGTTAATACTAATCCATTGGTGTACTATGATGAAACATCATTAGTATAGTTTAACATCAATTTTCATAATCAAAATAATTGTTAAAAAACTTGGTTAATAATCCAGAGTTTATATCACGAATGAACAATCATAAACATGATGCGGATATACCCTGGGCTTCGGTTAACAGTTTGCGAACAGTCTTTTTTGCCCAGTTTGTGACAAACGATTTACCTACGAATTTCATGGGGATGTACATAGCTATGTTAGTTTACCAAAGGGTAAGGTGATAATCATGGAATTTCAATGGGGTTATATGGGATTATGATGTGAGTATGATGCGGTGATAATGAAATGATATGTAAAACTATATGATTATATGTCTAGTCTAATTAAACAGCTTACATCTAGATGACAGCGAGTCAACCTGACTTGATGAACCCAAACATTGATTGTGTTTGATATGCTGTATTTTGATACTAATTCTACAGTCTATAACTTTACACACCATCTGCAGCCTCATCTTGCTAAGGAGCATGCTTGCATTTCAGAACATGTTCCATCCCACTTAACACTTCCAAAACATGAAGGAACCAACACTGTTTGTCATCTCGCAACGGCCTGTTTGATGCAACTGGATGATATCTCAAGCAACCGTACAGTTTGCACCAGGGTATTGCATGGTATTAGCCCTTCCTGAAACCTCTCATTGAAACCAGCTGAACAGCTGAGTACTAGTCCTTCAACCCGAGACGTGAAGAGAAAAAAGAAGTGGGGTGGAGTGGTTTATACCCGTTGGATGGCTAAAGGGCCACACCCCAGCCGGTTGGAATCTACGCGTACCAACAAAACCATCATCACGCGCCAAGGAACGTTGAAGAATTTGAGCTGACCTTTTTCTGCGTCTTCTTGGTGATAGTTTTCCTTGGAATCGGATCATCAGGGGCACACCGGATACCCTTCAACAAAAAACAAACACATGATACGATCCCAACATGGGTTTGATTGAAATATATTAAAAATGGGGTACTATCAAAGTGGATTATGTTCATTTCCACCACTTTCAAAGACACCCAACGTCCACCATGCTCCAAGCGTCTTCACCGGCGCCGTCTTCGCGACCTTCACCGCCTTCACCGGCGACGGCGCCGGCGGCTTCGGCTTGGGCGTGGCCTTCTTCGGCGGCGGCGAGGCGCTAGAGCTGGGTGGCCGCGTCTTGCGACCTCGCGGCTCCTGGAAATGTTCAACACATTGCAAAACCCATTGATTGATTGATTTATATATAGAGTATTGCAAAAAAAAATTGGGGATGATTGGAGTCCATGAACTGGGCCCGTTCTTAACCAGTGTAGAAAGGCACGAGAGACCAGAGATCTTAGAATGGCATGGGGTATGTTTCTGCTAGAGGTATTTTTGGCCATATATGCACCCTAAGGAAACCCCATCAAAAACCCAAAAGAGACTAAAGTAAGCTAATAAAAACACATTGAACACCTATGGGAGTTTAGTCGGGTGGGGGACTTTATGTTTTGTTTGTTTTTGCCCTAGCTTTGTTTAGGTTTGATTTGGTTTTTGATGTGGGTGCAGCCAATTTTGGGGAATTTGTTGGGTTCCTGTTAGCTTTTCTTAGGTTTTATTGGGTTTGTGGTGGTGGTGCAGCCCATTTTTGGGAATTGGTTGGGAATTGTTTGGAAATCAGTTGGTGATCCCTTGGATGTGCTTGGCCCATTTTCGGAAATTATTTAGGTTTTTGTTGGGGGCAATTTAGGTTTTGTTGGTGGTTCAGTGGGATTATTTGGGAGCCTTTTGGGTTTCTCCAGGGTTTGAATTGGGAATCCATTGGGCCTAGAAAAGGCTTAAAGGCTCTTAGCAGAAACATAGTGCAAGCCGTTCTATGAAGAGAGGGCTGTAAAATTATATAAAGTCTATTTATGTAGACTATGAGTAAAATTTCCAACTGCTATAGGAATGGACTTCTGCAAACTATCAGAGTTATTTCATCATATTTCACATTGAGCAGAAATAGTAACAATTTAAGTGAATCCGCCGGCCTGCCGGCGTGTCTTGTGGATCTTGCTTGTTCGTAGTTGTACTGTTTGTTTAGTCTTCAGTCTCTGTCTAGACTTTCCCCCTGGTGCGGATTTTTGCCCCGTCTAACTTGAACCCCCCTCCCCCACCCCCCGTACGAGGAAAAAACATGTACTATGTGGCGCGCGCAGTTTTCCTTGTAAAAATTCTAAATTTTTCCATGCTCCACATTTAGACTGTTAGAATTCAATTCTGAAAATCTAAATTTTACTAAGCTCCAAATTTAGAATTCTCAATTTTTCCAAGCTCAGAATTTTTAAAATTCAATTCTAAAAATTCTAAAAATTCTAAATTGTTCCCAGCTCCAAATTCTAAAAATTCGTAAATGACACCCCTCCCCCCCCTCTCCGCGTCGTGCTTATCATTTTTCGTTTCAACCTTAGTTTCGAAACATGATTCAGTTTCAACTCAAACCCCGGCTTACGCAAAACCCATGTTTTGTCTCTCCTGTTCGTGTTTTTCCTCTGCGTCTTTCGTTGCAATGTGCTGGGTTCGACTCTGCCCACGCTGTTTCCATTGTGGTGCTCACGATTGGTTTGCTCTGTCATTCTTACACTTTCTACATTCCTATGCCTCATACATGTGGCCTGTCAATCCACTTGCTTTTGTGCAGAACACAATTTACACGCGCAACCTTTCTATGTATAGCCTTTTTCAGGAACCTTGGTTCACACACTGCTTCGGTTTAAATTCAAGCCCTGGTTTAAGCAAGCACCATGCTGAGTGTCAAAGCGCATCTTCCTACTAAACAAAACGCTGATTCACAGAGAAAAAAACGTGTTGTAAGTGTTTCCCAGAAACACCATGCATTACACAAACATCTAAACAAATCATGTTTGACTGAGGAAGACATTGCTCCGCTTCAGGAAGAAGATGTGGACACTGAACCTTACACATCAGACCACTCTCACTTTGTCGATATCGATGGTACTGCTTTTGTTCCGTTGACACCCAAAATACATGCTGCTCCTGATTTTGGTTCATACGATGTTACTGGATTCAAACAGTTTGAACAGTATTTGGCCAAGAATGGAAAGAAGCAGCCGAAAGCTGAATCAGTTATCACTCAAGAAATTTTGAAGAAGTATGCTAAGGAGATCAAAGAAGCCAAGCTTGAAGAATTCAGAAGTTTTCTGGATTTCACTGCCATGACTTTCAGAGACAAAGAGACGTCGTAAGATTGATAACTATGTCACTGGCAGATGGGTGCTTACCATCAAGGTTGATAAGGATGGACAGTTCAAGAAGTTCAAGGCTAGCGGCTAGATGGGTATGCAGAGGCTTCCAAGATGCACAGAAGTATGACCTACAGACTGATAGTCCTACTGCTACCAGGTATGGTTTTCGTGTGGCATCTCAGCATGCAGCCTCGATGTACTGGGATTTACTCCATTTAGACTTGAAAACTGCCTTCCTTCAGGGGGAAACATACGACTTAGACCGACGTGTTATCCATGTTCAGTTGCCTACTGACATTGGTTTGCCTCCTTACTTGGTTGGTTTGTGCACTCGTTCCGTCTATGGACTTGCGGACGCACCGCGTAGGTGGTGGAACCGCTTAGACAAGTTTCTGATTTCGCTTGGCATTCAACCAACAAGAGCGGACAGATGCACATATGTGTGCTATGAAGGTGCTTTTAAGGAGCCAAAACAAGTTAGCTTTGCTGACTCTGAGACAACTGAACCCGCACCTGTGTCCTATTATAGCGTAAGCTCACATGAGATTGAGGAAACACGTGATGAATCCTCCGACATTGCTGAGGAAGTTCATAAGTCTCTTTTGGTTGAAGAAAGGTTGTTTTCAGCTTGTTATCAACAAACCCAAACATGGAAACAGAGAAAAGAGTTCAAGGAAAAGAAGGTTGAAGATTGTGCTTGGACTCCTGTTGTTGATGAAACCATGTTGAAATTCTTGGAATCTGTTGAACACAAGTCTGGTTGGCACAACTTTGAAAATGGTCATGCTCAAGTTGCCTATCGTGCAAAAGCATTGAGAACTCCTGAGCCACAATATGATCGAAAGAAGTTTCATTTGAGAACTTCTATTGTGAAGAGAAAAGGAGTTTGGTGGTTGCTTGAAGTGAATCATGACTTGAACAAGGAAAATGTTTCCACAAGTTTGGAAGAAGAAGCTGAAGTACTTGTTTCAGCCTTCTTACCTTCAGAGCGTACATATCTTACCACGACACCACAGTTGACACCTGAGATTGTTGAAGAACTCTTGGAACACTTCATGGACCCTGTGAATGGGAGTAATGCCAAGGGAAGAAAACCTATTGGCATGTGTTGTTTACATGTTGATGACTTGTTCATTACTGGCGCTCCAGAATTTCTGGAGAAGTTCAAAAAGGTTGTCAAGTCACAATTCAAGATTGGTCATGAAGATGTGAATGACTTGATGTTCACTGGTCAGCGTGTGAAATGGATTATTGATGAAAAGACCAAGAAGAAATCTCACATCACTGTTGAACAGTCACTGTGTGTCAGTGAACTGTCTGAGATTCTGATACCAAAAGGTATGAAGGATGAAGAGAAATATGACAAGGATCTCCATACTGCCTATAGGTCTTTGTTAGGTAGTATCAACTGGTTACAATCAAGAACCCAATTCAGTCATGTTATCAGTTTTCACGTTGTGCTTCTGCCGCTGCTTCACCCACAGTAGGTGATTGCAAAACGCTGAGCAAACTTTGCAGGCAAATTGTAGGTGACCCTATGGAACTTATGTCCTGGCCACTTCAAGGTGATCCTAGATTAGTTGCTATGCCCGATGCAGCGTTTAGGAACAACAGCGACAAATCCTCACAGCGCGCAATGGTAGAGCAAAAATACCAAAGGTTCTCTTATTTTCTTTGAATCAACCAAAATCAAACGAACCACTTTGAGCACCACTGTTGCTGAGTTGTATGCATTGATGAAGTGTTATGGCACTTGTCAGATGTTAAGAGGACTCGTCAAGGACATTACTGGACTTTCAAGTGAGATTCATATGAGGACTGATGCAAACAATCTTGTGACTACTGCTAGTACTACTCATGTTCCTGAACAACAAGAGACTATTCACATGATTCAGATGCTTAGGAAGGAAGCATGTTCAGGTTCAATTGCTGATTTGTCACATATCAGAACTCAATGGTGTTTAGCTGATTGTTTGACCAAGAAATCTGCCAATCCTCAGAATCTTATTGATGCTGTTCGACAAGGTGTTCTTAAAGAAGTGGATGCTCATCCTCCATTCAGATCATTACTGGAACACAAAGCTTACCTCAGGTCATGGTTGCCAACAGTTTGCATTCATGTTGATTTCCGACATGATGTTTTCCTGTTAGGTGACACCCTGAGGGATTCTTGACTATTTTTTGAATTTGTGCATGCGGCTTCAAGGGTAGTAGAGTCTCGAGATACGCACTGTTTCTTCACCATGTCGAGCTCTAACCGGTGGTCAAGGACCTCGAACGCAGAATACCGTGCTCAGGCACAATCTGATTCAGGAGGTCAAGAATATCGTGATTCACAGTATGATTCTGAAAAACGAAGACAGGTACCATCTGAAGGATATGCTCTGCGTAGATCAGAGGCAATCCCAGATAACAAGGACAGGAAGCCAGATACAGCAGCTTATGAGGATCACATGGCTTACTGTTGTGGGTACCGAACAACAACTCAGTGGTTTCAGGCTCACAATCACGTGAGGAGGAAACAACACAGAACGATCCACACCGTCTTAGGACCAAACAACATGAGCCCATTTGACAGAGTTCAGATGCTTATGGATGTTATTTCCTGGATCCTCATTTTTGGTAAGGACAATGGAGAATTTTCTGACTTAGCTACACTGGATTGCTGAGTTTTTGAAATATCTCTGTGGTTACACCGACCAAGATGAAGAGGAATGGTTTGACAATCTATGCAATGACTTCTATGCCGAGACAACTGGACGACAGAACTATCAAAGTCACATCGTGAAGTGCAGCAAGGCTTTGTCAGGTGTGTTGAGACATTACAAACAGAAGTCAATTTTTGCATCAGATGGAAGTATGAACATCGCAGATTGTTTCAACCAGATGGATTGGAATAATCCAAGGCAGAACAATATGTCTGGAGCCCAGTTTGCGGCCATGTTGTTGAGCAATCCAAAACAAAGA